AGATACACGCCCCTATGGCTTCCTCGGCAATCTCGATTACTTCCCTGGCACAGCGCAGCCTTGTCCACCCTCTAGGATTTTGTTTGTCTGCTCTTTGTTCTCTTTTGCATTCCCTCTGTCTGATCATTCATCTATCCACCTGTCTGTTTAATTCTGTCCATGAAAGGCATTTATCATATAGATTCAGGTACTCATTTGCTTGTACAAAAACATCTAGAGAGTCCAGGCTTCACGGGAATGGCTCCTGCCCTGTGCAGGAAGACTACAATATGCCCAAGGGTAGCCTTCTCTCTTGCCTCCGTGCTCCTTTACCCATGTGATAAGCCCCTTAGGCCAGAGGTTGCTTGTGTGTCTGTTTTTGCAGAGACCAGCATGAAGGGGTCCTTACTCTAGTCAAAGCTTCCAGATTGCCCTGTAACATAAATCATTACAGTTTGGAGTTATATGTGCATTGCAACCCAACGGCCAAGTGGAGGGGTGAGCAGGCTGTCTGGGGCTCTGCAGTTTTAAGTAGCCTCTCCCCATGCAAACTTCTCTTTTCCCCTGCCCCAAGCCCTGCTGTGCAGGGGAAAGCTGTAGAGGCTCAGAGATCCTACACAGTGGCACGCTCCTTCTGCAAGGCTGGGGTGAAGCAGGGACGTGACCAGAGCTCAGCCTGAAGATATGGGCAAGTTCTGCCCCAGCTACCAGCAGATATTGATTTTTTTTTTTTTTCTGAAACAACTGGCCATGAAGCCTTTTAATAACATAACAGAAAAGGTCAGAGAAAGAATTTCACACTTCTTGAGCAAGCAGGCAGCCGGTATAACTTCATGCCTCCCAGGAATGAGAGGCAGCCAGAACATATACTGCACCCTAAATTAACTGGGGCTCTGACAACCACAGCCAAGTGCTACCCAGGCAGTTGGTGGCTTTTGATGGGTGCTGGCTTTCCTAATAGCTGGGAGTGGGCTGGAAGGCTGTGCCCTGGAGAGGTGTGGTGAGCAAGGGTGCTGGCTGTGGCACGGGGCAGAGGGCTTGGGGCTGTGTGTGATAGGAAGCCCTGGGGAAGGATGGTGCTAGGGTGGATGAATGGCCATGTTCAGTTCTAGCCATGATCAGTGCCTGTGATGAGTTTAGCAAACATCTTCCAAAGCAGGTCCCAACAACTGCTTTTCTCCTGGGCTGAGAGGAGCATGAGAGAGAAGGGTATCTCCAGCCCTGTCTCTCCCAGCTAAGAAGCCCAGTACCTGAAGGAGAGGGTGAATTGCTAGAGATGAAATGCATCTGCAGATCTCAGACCAGATGGAGGATAAATCCATTGCAGAGAGGGACAAATCAATAGGCAGGTGAAGGGGGGGGACAGATAAAAGGGCGTTGTCTGACATCCATGCCACTATCTGACAGTATCAGTACAAGCCTTGCAGGAAGCGATGTCTGGCACCAATGGTGACGTTCTCAGGGCACATCCCCTCTACAGGCGAAGAGCAATTGTGTGTGACCAGGGAGTGAGGTGGAAAGCCCTCTGCTTTGGGATGGAGCACTGGGCAGGGCGTGAGGTCTAGGACCAGGGAAGACCTGGTGAGGCCAGTTCATTAGTCCTGTTTGAGTCTAGAGTCAGCAGAAGCCCTCAGGTATGTGCTCCCATACTGCTGCTACTCTGTCCAGCTCCAAGCTGCCTCATTGCTGGTAGCAGGGAGTAGTATTGCTGCTTCACAAGCCCTCATGTAGCACATCAGCTGAGACAGGAGGAGAAAGAAAAGTCTCGAGGTCCCATGTCCAATGGCTGTGAAGAGGACTAATGCTGGTCAGGCATCAGACCAAGTTGCTCAGGTCTCTGCTCCTGCCTCTCCTTTGCTTGTGGAGGGTTTGAAAGTGGTCTCCTGGACTCGCATCCCATTAGCTGTGGTGGGACTCCCATGAGGACCTCTTCTGTGACCTGGGGAGAGGCATTGGCACTAGATGGAGCTTTCAGCTGGGAGAATTTTTTGGGTGGAAGAAGATATGAAAACATGGCCTTACTTCTGGGGTCACCAAGACCCAGCCCAGCTTCCAGTGAGCTCCCCCCAACAGGGAGAGGAGCAGGGGGGTTCAGTCCAGCAACCCCTCCTGTCCTTTTGGTGATGTGCTGGGGCTCTGGCACCAGCCATGGCCCTCATGTGCAGTGGAGGATGCTTGGCTGGGAAGAGCAGGGAAGGTGCAAGTGTGTGTTCACGCCTGTCGCACTGAGCATGTGGCTTGCCTAGGTCCTGCTGCCTTGCAAGCCTGCAGGGTCTGAGTGCCGTGGTGGGTGGAGCAGAGAGCACAGTGCCCCTCCAAACCTGCCTTTGGGCGCTGCTGCTTTGACAGCAGCTGCCATGAGCTGGGATCAGGGTGGTACCAGCTTTCCAAAAGCCAGGGACCTGCACGGTGGCATAGGTACATGTCTCACTTTCTATTGCTCATGTATTTGCTAGACCTGGAGGAATGGGGAAGGGGCCTAAGACGACCCAGCAGGAAGTAAGAATTAAGGGATGGGAGGTCTCCTTAAGCTCCTCGTACACTACAGATCTTCACAGCAAAG